CTTGAACTATTTTCAGCATTTCTTGTAAGGCAAGTCTAGTGGTGATGAACTACCTCAGATTTGTTTGCCTGGGAAAATCACTCATACTGTGTATAATTTCACTTATTTCAAATTTGTTTTTGTTCATTTATGGGCCAAGATATGGCCTATTTTGGTGATATTTCATTGGCTCTTGAATATGTGTTCTACTGTTGTTAGGAAGAGTATTCTATTTAGGTCCTCTTGGTTGATTGTGTTCAGATATTCTTTATCCTTACTGATTTTTCTGTCTCATAATTTCATCAATTGCTGAGAGCAGGATGTTGAAATTTTCACCTACAATTGAAAATTTGTTTTCATTAAAAAAGCGTATGTTGTTAGATGCATACATATTTAGGATTGTGATGTTATCTTGGTGCATTCATCAGTTTTTCATTATGTAATGCCTCTTGTAATTTTATTTGTTCTAAAATATACTTTATTTGATATTAATATAGCTACTCCTGCTTTTAAAAATTTAATGTTTGCATGTATATGTTTTAAAGGTCTGACTCTGTGTGTGTGTATGTGTGTGTGTGTGTGTGTGTGTGTGTGTTTTAATGCTGACAAGTTCTTAACCCATATTTGTTTTGCTTCACATCTGGACAAGCTGATAAGTAAGCCCTGACACTTCCTCATTTAATTTCAGCAAGGAGTTCAAATCATGAAATCTTTGCCCAACATGTGAAGGAAATGTTATCTCAGCTTTCCTTCTAACCACAGCAAAAACCAAGCTAGTCTCCTATCTTTGCTCTCTTATGCCATTTTCAGATATCCTTGGGGGCCTGCTCTTCTTCCTAGAAAGTCTCATTATGTGAGTAATAAACTTTATTATACTTTCTTGGTGCATATATGATGTCATCATTCTTGACATCTGCAAATCTTGAGTGAGGTGGAGATGGTAGAATGGTGCAATCCTATTCTTGGAGGGTGACCACCAACAGTATATATGTTTATTTATTTATATACTTTTACTTGTCGCTTACCTATGTCATTTTATTTAACATGAGTTTCTTGTTTTTGTTTTTGTTTTTAAGATTTTTTTATTGGAGAATTGGGAGAGGGGAACAGCGTTGGGGAATCGGGGAAAGGAAACAGACAATTTGCAGTCCTCTTGTTCTTCAGTCTAGTTTTGGAGTACATTGCTTCACTGGCCCATGTTGGTATTGTGATCATTGCGCTCTTCCTGGGTGAGGCAATTGGTTGCCGGCCAGTGGATGGGTGCTCACAGCAGCTCACTGCAGCTCATGCCAGCTGCCGGCCACTCATGCTGGCTGCCAGTCACTCACAGTAGCACATGGCAGCCCACTGCAGCTCCGTTGCAGCCTCTGCTGTCGCCGGCGACTCATGGCAGCACAGTTCCAGGTAGAGCTATCATTCATTCACCATCTTTGCTGAAGAGGGCACAGCATCACTGGCCCTCATGTGAGATCCGAACCATAGCACTGCTGCTCAGAGCCGGTGCTCCCAAGCCAACTCTTAACCAACAAGCCACATGGCCGGCCCAGACATGAGTTTCTTATAGGCAGCATGTACTTGGGTCTTTTTTAAAAAACCTATTCTGCCAATTTCAACTTCTAATCTGTTAATTAATTAATTTAGACAATTAACATTTAAGTAGTTATTGACATTTAGGGCTTGTGTATGCCATTTGTTTCTGCTTGTTTCCTCTGTTTCTCCTTCATTTGTTTTTCTTCCTCTCTCTCCCTCTCTCTCTTTTTTAGACTATGTGAGTTATGAGAACATTTTTTTAGGATTCCATCTTGATTAATTGTAGCATTTTGAACACATCACTTTGTAGAGTTTTCTTAGCAGTTGCTCTGGATATTACAATATACATAAATATTTTATCACAATCTACTGACATCGACATTTTAACACTTTTAAAAAAATGTGGAAACCTCACTTAGATCCTTTTTCCTCCAGTTTGCAATAACACTGCCTTGAGCTTCACATCAGAAAGTTTATAACTTTTATTTCAACCATCAAATGAATTTTCAAAACTTATGAAGATAATCTACTTTATTTTTGCTCTCCTCATTGTTTCTTCCTTCCTAATGTTCTAACATTCCTTTTTTTATCAAATTTTTTTGTTTGTTTCAAAAATATCTTTAACCATTCTTTTTATCTAGTTTATTGTTTTATGTTTTAAATAATTATACAATATTATATTAGTTTCAGGTGTACAACATACTGGTTAGACATTTATATAACTTATGAAGTGATCACCCTGATAAATCTAGCACCCACATGATACCACACATAGTTATTATAGTATTATTAACTATATTCCCTATGCTATACACTTTAACCATTCTTTAAGGCTAGCTTGGCTAGCAACAAATTCTCAAGTTTTCTTTCATCGGAGAATGTGTTGATTTTTCCTTCTGAAAGACAGTTTACCCAGATACAGGATTTCCTGTTGACAGTTCTTTTATCACTTAACAGTTGCTGTGACACTTTCTGGCTTTCAGTGTTTCTGATGAGAACTGCTATCATTCAAACTGATATTTCTATACATGTAGTACATCCTTTTTCAGTGGTTGCTTTCATGATGTTTTCTTTCATCTTTAATTTTCAGGAATTTAATTTTTATCTATGTAAGTGTGAATTTTGGGGGAATTTTCCTATTTAGTATTTGTCAGTTCCTTGAAACTTTGGTTTTACTTGTATTCTTTACACTAAATTTGGGAGTCACTCAGCCATCATTTTTTCAAATACTTTTTCAGTCTTCCTATCCCCCTTCTCCCTTTCTGGGACTCTGATGGTACAAATGTTTGTTATTTTGTTAAGTTCCAAATGTCCCAGGGTGAAGATATATTCTTTAAAAAAAATACTATTTTCTTTCTATTGTTTGAAATTAGTAAATTCTAT